AATCTTGAGTCGAAAGTTTTCCTTCTCGAGGATCTCGCCGCGTTCAATCTCCGCGCCAGCAACAAGAGTGCTGCAGAGGCCCTCCAGGTAGGCGGCCTGATTCTCCAGCTCCTCGGGACGGAACTGGTGCTGGGAGCCACGGGGACTGTAGAGCTGACCGTGAGGATTGCGCGGATATCTAGGTGATCCATTGTCCTGACGCGCGAAGTGAGGCTGATCACCATGGTAGCGAGAGGTGTCTAGATTTCCGGGGTGTCGAGGTCCATCACGCCTTGGCGTGTGCGGTTGCATTCCAGCATACTGACCCTGCGGCTGACCCTGGCCATGGTAAGGGGCCGCCGCGTGGTGAGATCTGCCGCCATTCTGGTGAAAGCCGGGAGGATGAGACGAGTGACCCGGAGATCCGGAAAAAGGTCTTCCGTAATGGGTAGGCGGCGAAGGTCGAGGGTCAATGGGAATTGACAGCTGGGCGTTCATCTGGCGTCTTTGGGCTTGATTGGGGCGCTTTCTGGAAATCTTGGGCGAGCCTGGGAGCTTTCCATCAACGGGGGCCGAGGCAGAGTTGTCATTGTTGGCGGGTTGCGGAGAAGCAGCACCGACAGGGAGAGGTGCGGCCGTTCGCGGGGTGTCAGAGAACTGCGGCGGGCCGTTTGTAGGGGGAGCGTTGGTGAGAATCAAATTTCTCAGGCGATTCTCGAGGGCACTGGGGCCGGCAGGCTGCCCGTCACTACTCTGCATGATGGCGATGTCTGCTTGGGGTCGTACTCATGCGATGTAGTTGGCCAGAGCTTGGCGATGGTGATGTTGCTGTGGGGTTGAGTGAGCTTGAGGTTTCTGCTACGGGACCGCAGCACTGCATTCTCACCTGGTCAGGAACGTCTGGGGAACATGGCCGGTGGCTGAGAGTTGAGGCGTGAGGTAGTTATTTTTCTATTGATCCACTTGACCAAGATGAAGGCTGATTTGCAGGGTAGAAACCAGTTTCCGATTGCTGATCACCTCATTCAAGCGTGCAGTGTAAATCTGGAGTGAGGTGAAAGCTGGACGTGGGGAAGGTACATACATCCCTTGGTGAGGGGCTACAGTGTAGGAAGAATGGATACTGTGTAGTGTTGGCGTGCTCGGGCGTCTTTGAACTGTGCGAAGCTTGGTCGGCGTCGACTGGCCTTGATGGGACGGCAGGAACGAGGTCAAAGTAAGGTCCCTGGATTGATTAGAGTTGGTGGTATAAGCTTTCCGACTCAATTGGAAGCGTCTTGAAAAGGTAAGTGATGTCGAGGTGTCAAGTGATCAACTGTCACACGCGGGATACGAACACGTCGTGTAGATGAAGCACAGGCGCAAGTATAATTGATTCATAGAATGACATTGCTATGCTAATTGCAGCCTTTAGCAGTCTGTTACATCAATACATCTTGCCCCTGAAAAATTGCTGTGAGTAGTCCTGTGATTCTGTCTCATCCGACTGCAATACCTCGCCGTTGCTCCAGCCGTCGTAGCTAGGGTTGTAATTTTGGTCCAGCGTCAAGTTTGAGCTTATAACTTGAACGATGAAAACGAGTTCAATCAGTTTAAAAAGCGGACATTTACGTACTTTGACGCAGTCATGGACGCCTCTCAAGATGCTTCTCTACTATTTATCCCTACCTGAGTTGATGAGTTACACACAATCGCAACGTGCAACTTGGTCGCAAGTTCATCCCTATGACGTTCTTCCCCAGCAAGGCTAGCCCCTTCCATATGCGGCTCCTGCTGCTGAGGTGGATTGCCAGGCACTGTGAGCCACCCGCGCTAAGGAGTTACAGTTCCCTGCAAAAAGCCGAGACCTGCAAGTACTCCGCACCAAAAAGAAGCAGGCGGATACAATGCAGGTCGTCCTAAGAGCAGCCGACCCACTAGTACCAGCTTTTCTGTAAGCTCCCCCGAGCTGGGCTGGCTGCCTAGGTGCGCTCAACTTCCAAGGCGCGCCTTCCAATAACCTTCTTCCCGCTACCACGCCGTCCTCGTCGCCGCTTCTCCTCTTTGTCATCATCTCCCTCTTCGCGACTACCTATCCACATCGCATCGCCAGCAAATACTTGGAAAGTTCTATTGGGCGAGTTTAAAGCATTCTTCAGAGACATCACTTTTCAACTGCATAGCCTTGCTATTTGTCCTCGGCGTGCTTCAACTACGTTGCGCCCGCAGCGCCGTCTCTTCCGTTCACGTCACGACTCGTCTGGCCTCCACGGTGCCGACTGCCTCCCCGAAATCGAAATTTCGACGCCTTCGCAACGAGACTCCCGTGGCTCCATCAAATAACGATCGGCTGGTAGTGTGCTAGCAGCAAGTTACGCCCTCGAGATGAGCGCGCCACCGCCCGGCATGCCGAACGGCCAAAACCCCAATGGCCCGCCTCGCCCTCCTCCGATCAAGCGACGACCTCGCGGAGACCCTCTAGTCGCCCGAAAACGCCCTGGCCAACCCCGACCCGCGGCTTCGCGTCCTGCGCCGAACACCCTGCAGAATGCAGCAGGCGCTCGACCTTCTCCGGGCGCGTCAGGCCATCTCGGTCATCAGCGTCCCGAGACCGAAGATGAAATCAAAAATAGAAGAGCGGCAAACGGTGGCTGGCTCGATCCTCCTCCGGCCAACGTGAGAGAGTACAAGATCGTAACCACAAAGAAGGCATTGAAGGACGGCATTCGACATCACATAATGAAGCTCTCATCTTCCAAGGCGGACCTCGAGCAGAAAGGAATCGACCCCACGAACCAAGATGAGTTCACCAGACCTGTGACGCTCCAGCGACGCGATCCTCGTCAACCGCCGCCTGGCCGCGAGGTCAAGCAGGAGGCACCCGAGCCACCGCCGGTCGACGAGAAGGAGGCCGAGAGATTGGCACAGCTGAAGGCTGAGCGCGAGGCTGTTCGCGCCGTTGAATTGGCAAAGAGTGCGCCGAGTCTCAAGGACCCCAGTCTCGACAAGAAACCCGCGCCAAAGAAAAAGAAGGAGGAGGATGTGCAATTCCACCGACAACCCAGAACCGAGAAGGAGAAGAAGCAACAGGAATTGCGATATGAGGAGGCACTCCCTTGGCATCTTGAAGACGCTGATGGCAAGAATGTCTGGGTTGGATCCTATGTCGCTCCATTGTCTGAGACCACCGTCGCCTTTGTTGCTACCAGAGACGGGAAGTTTGCGGCTGTTCCCCTGGAAAAGTGGTATAAATTCACGGCGAAGCCGCATTTCAACACGATGAGACTGGAAGAAGCCGAGGCCTTGATGAGCAAGAAAACGGATGTCGGCCGCTGGTACATGCGCGATAAGCAAAAGAAGAGTGAGCAAGAGGAGTGGGAGGCAACTAGACATGCACTTTACGGCCCGGCAAGAATCAAGACGGAGAGCAGCACTTTCCGTGCCGCTTCTCGCGAGGAGAAGATGGATCACGATCAGATCGACATGGAAGGAGATGAGTTCCAGGACGACGACGAAGCCCCGGGATTGGAAGTCGACAATGACGAGGACTTCAAGGAGGCGACTGAACGTATTCGCCGTGACCAGATGGGTGCCAATCTCTTTGGCGATGCTGATGAAAACAGAGTTCAGAAGGAGCTCGACGAAGAAAGAAAGGCTGAGGAGGAGCGTCGCAAAGAGGGCAAGCGGACTACCAAGGCGCTCATCAAAAGAGAGAAGGAAACCATCTATCAATCCGACTCAAGTGGCTATGATCCTTTCGAGTCTTCCTCGGTACGTTCAACCCGACACGCATTTTCAGCTTTTTGCTAACTGTGGACCCAGAGCGATGAAGACTCCGACGAGGAGAAGAAAGATGATGAGAATAAGGACAAGGACAAGGACAAGGAAGACGAGCAGAAGGGAGACTCAAAGGACAAGAACGCCTCGGGTGTGTCTTCCAAGGGCAACACGACCCCGTCTGGCCGACCGAAACATACAGACGCTCTGAAAAAGGGCAAATCCTTGAAGCGTCCCGGCTCCCCCAACCTGTCGGAATCTAGTGGAAACGAGTCCTCTCGCAAGAAGATCAAGAAGCAGACTGCTTCTGTTCACCAAAGCCGTTCGTCGACTCCCTTGTCCCAAGGCCCGGCGGGCAAGAGCAATCTGGGCAAGGGTGTGATGAGTGACGGCGAAGCAACGGCAGGAGAGATGTCTGATGGCCAGCTGCGGCAGAAGAAGAAGATCAAGCTCGTTGGAAGTGGCGCAAGGGGAACCCCTGTGGGATCGAGGGCCGGTAGTCCCGCTCCCGCTGCACCTGGTAAGTCTTCTTTCAGACATCCAATCATTCAACTCTCAAGACATGCTGACTCGTTGCGGCAGGCTCCAAGCCTGGTTCACCTATTCCAGAAGGCTCTCCACGCGCTGGATCTCCCGGCCCTGTCGAGCCCTGGGAGATTATCAATGCTCTGCCGGAGCTTCCAAATGGTATTACCATTGGAAATCTTATGAGAAAGTTCGCTGGTCGCATTGGAGACGGTCCGGGGCAGATGGACCGCAAGGACTGGATCAAGCTCGTCAGAGAGAATTGCCTGTACGGGCCTGATAAGGTACTACGTCGCAAGTCATAGGTAGTACGCCGTGTCCGAGCCGCCGGCACGCAGGAACAGGTTACCTTTTCCTGAATCCATCGGCCAGATAGACTTAGAGCTTAGAGCTACCGTATCATGATACATTGGCGAGGAACAGGCTTGCTTCTTTCTGTCTGCCTATTTCGTCTATTAGCTCTCATGTTTGTCCCCTACGAAATCTACAGCTTTTGCCACTGATCTTAGCTTCGAGTGATTGCGAGGCTACACACGGCCACTGTGACTATGACAGTCTAAACTTGCGTTTTCAGCCAAGGAGGTAGGGATGCTGATTTTGGTTGCGAGTCACAAACCGGGGGTGTATGTCGGAATTTCAAGACCAAATGTGAAGGAGGCTGGCCATGCCATGACCATTAAACGAGTTCCATCAAACTCCTCGCCAACCACGGCGTTCTAACACCGTAACATGTGCGATTTTTACTCGTCCATTTGCCACTCATAAGTGAGCCCCTTGTTCCGCTCTTTCCGGTTCAATGCCCTGAACCTCTCTCCCTCGAACCCGTTACTCCTGTCCACGCCATCCCACCTGTAACCCGGTCGAATGCCATACCGATTTGGCGGTGCAGCGCCTGTGTATATCGGCCTCTTCTTGCCCTTCTTCCCCTTGGCCCCCGGCCCCGTCTTCTCGACCATGAACTGCGCCATGGGATCGTTCCACCTCTCCTTCTCCTTAAGCTCTCTGTTCATCTCCTCGTCGTCCGCCGTCCGGGCAAAGTTCATGAGCTTCGCGTCCTCGAGCGCCTCCCTCCGTTTCCGGGCCTCCTCGAGTTGCACCTCGCCCTTAGGCGCCAACTTCGCCAGCCTCTCCTTCTCCTCCGCCTCGGCCGCTAGCTTGCGCGCCTCGGCGCGCTTCATGGACACGTCCACCCTGCGGCCCGTGGCGTCGCGGTATACCGTCTCCTGCTCCTTGCCCGACTTTCTCAGCTTTGCGAACTCGGCCTCCTCCGCCTGCTGCCGCCTCTTCAGCTGCGCCGACACCGACGCCGCGCTCTGCAGGCCCGCGTGCGTGCCGTCGCTCATCTTGACCACCCCCGCGTCGTTGCCGCCGCCTTCTACCACGGGCATCTCGTCGTCGGCCTGCGCGGCGGCGGCGTTCTCTGCGGCTGCCGAGGCAAGGATCGCGTCTGCGGCGGCGGCGCTGTCGTCGTCATCTGTTTGTTTCGAGGGCCCGCTGCCGGCGACGGATTTCCAGTTCGATTTCTTTGTGCGGCGGAACTCGGCTGACTTGGCCCCGGACACGAGCATCGGGCCGCTCTCATCGTCATCGTTGTCTTGTGTGGACTTGCCCCAGTTGTCGTCGTCGTCGGCGATGATGAGGCCTTGGTTCTCGGCGGCGGCCTTGCGCTTGCGCTTCTTGGAGGGCTTAGGATCTGCTACCAGGTAGCGCGTGGCTAGATATGAGGAGAGGTCGGACGGCATGTTTGGAGGTTGTGGCTTCTAGAAAAGGCAAGATGCGGATGGGGGTGGGTATCGTTTTGGAAGCTGGGTGGAAGTGATCTAGAAGAAAGTCGCGAGCTTGGATGCTTCGCTGCTAATGCAGCTGCAACCTGCACTGTACAACCGGTTCGCGACGCACGGGCGTCATAACCAAGAAAAGGCAGGGGCCGCGGAAGGGACAAGGGTCCCCCACTCTCCTCCGCGGGTAGACGTGCATGTGACGGGGCGCTAGTCACTTATCGGAGGATCAAATGTCTCCCGCCCCGAGCCTGAACGACTGCTTTCTGGAGGTAATTTGGATTGCTGGCAGCTTGCTGTACCTTTCGCGGCTTCGTGATGGAACAGTCTTTGTATGTCTATTAGATCATATTGTGGAAGCGACCTGGATGTGGTGCTGACTGACTTTCAAGTTTACGGACTGATCCAACCACTCATTTTCTTCTACGATCCACCCTCGAGAGAGAGCCTCCCCCCCTTATGATTACGTCTCCCGAAGCCACTCGAACGGATTACGAGGTCTAATCTAGAGCCGCAACCACTGTCTCTTCCCAACCCCCACGATATCGACGCGAACCGCAAATTCGCTGAACTTGCGAGAAGTCCGAGCCGGAAAAGGGTATCAGTCGTTCCTGCGGCTGATATACCTCGGACCACCACCACTTCCCCCATGCAGTCCCCGGACAACGATGCGTCACCAACCGATGCGATCCAGGCGCTGCCGATGGCCGCCTCCACCGTGAGGCTGCCCAAGAGGCAGTCCGTGCCGGAGGGCCACCCGCTGTCCCAGTCCGAAGTCAGCCTGCCGCACCGCCGATCGCACCCCTCAGCCGCGCCCCTCTTCGCCTCGACCCTGACCCCGCCGGGCTCACGGTCCGGATCACCCATGGGACGCGGCTCGCCAGCCCGCAGCACCATGTCCGGCTCCGTCTTCGGCGGCCCGGCGGGGAGATCCCTGATCGACATCTCGTCCGACAGCCCCGGCGACCCGCGCAACCTGCTCGTGAAGGCATACGTCCCCCACGTTGCGATTTACACCTCCAAGGACACCGACGACCTGGCGAAGGAGAAGGGGTTCAAGAACGGCTTGTGGGAGCTGCTGAGGCCGTTTGGCGAGCAGGTGCAGGGCAAGGTCACTATCAGAGACAGCAACGGCGCGAGCAGGACATGGGAGGACTATTCCATTCGGTTCGTCAAGTTTGGTGAGAACATCGACTCGCCGGAGAGCGCGAGAGGCGGCGCGCAGGCCAACGGGCAGCCGGGGTCTTCGCTTAAGTCGAGGAACACCCTCGAAGATGTCGAGGCCGTCGTCGATCGCCATTTGTCTTACGCCGAGGATTCCTTCTTGCATACTCCGCACCACGGCGCCTTCACGAGGCAAGGGTTGGACGTGGAGGCTACCTCGCCATACTACTCGCTATACCTGAGGAGGCTCCTCTCAGGCATCCAGGTATCACCTCATGAGACCTTTGCGCATCCGGTCGCGTGTGTCATTGCTATCAGCTCGAGAAGCCCCTCGCCAATCGAGGACCTGCGGAAACTGTACAACGACACTAGCTCCGGCGAAAACAAGCTGCCGGTCTGGGTGGATGGGGATTATCTGAGATATTACGTTCTGGTCCACGACGAAGAGCGCGACGACATAACACGGTCACTGGCTCTGTTTGACCAGATGAAGCGCCACCTGGGCCTGCACTGCCACTTGCTACGGCTACGAAGCACACAAAGCGCCGAGACCGACGACGACAGCATACCGCTTCCTCGGAGCGACTGGATGTCTGCGGCCGAAGAGCTTGTTGATATCCGACACAGCGAGGACCAGGAAGACTTTGAGGACCCGACGAGGTACATTTTTGAGTCTGACGTGACAGCGATCCGCACGTTTGTGAGGGAAATGGTGACACAGTCTATTGTGCCTACCATGGAGCGGCATGTGTCTCTATGGAACGACCAGGTCGCATCTCGAAGGAGAGGTATCACCGGCAGGTTCATGAGCATATCAAGAAAATGGGGTGGCTTCGGCAGCAGCTCGAGGTCATCAGTGGTCGGCAGTGGATCATCCAGCAGCTATGACCCTGCGGGATTCTATCGGCCAGACGCTTCGGAAGCCATCATGCGAAAGCTTGCCGACTTCGCTTTCATGCTGAGAGATTACAAGCTTGCGCACTCAACATACGACCTGTTGAGATCCGATTTCAGCGACGCCAAGGCGTGGCGGTATCACGCCGCAACCAACGAGATGGCCGCCGTCAGTCTCCTGATCATGCCGCAGAACCTTTCCTCAAAGTCTCGCGCCGAAACGATTGACCAAATGCTCGAGGCCGCCTTCTACTCCTACCAAACACGATGCAGCGCCCCATTCGGAGCCTTGCGCTCGCTCACCTTGGGCATCGAGCTCCTCCGTCTGAGGGGTGGAAGCAGCGTTGATGATGCGGTCAGATGGGGCATCCGACTCCTCGACTCGAAGGTCCAAGGCAAGATCGGCGACGCTCTCATGAAGGAGCGTCTTGCCGTGTGCTACTCGGCCAAACCCGGCGTCGGGTCCGGTTCCTGGGGCCACCGCAAGCGCAAGTCGGCAATGTGGTGTATCCTGGCCGGCGAGTCCTGGCTCCTTCAGCAAAAGTACATCCAGTCGCAGCGCTGTCTCAACGAGGCAGGGCGGATATGGTCCGACCTCCCGCATGAGAATGGCATCTCCAAGTTTGACGTCGCCAACGACTTCGTGGCAGGTCTGCAGCACCAGCTTGACGAAAAGCTTGAGGCCGAGGATGTCGGCGACGAATCGGCGTCTCAGGAAGCCGAGGACGTCGTCGTGGACGAAGAGAGCGAGGCTCTGGATCTGCGGTCGCGGAGGGCGAGCATGATGGGCCGCGCGGGGCCGCAGGCTGCTAATCTCGAGACGGCGCCGTTACATAAAGTGAACTCGGCCGAGGACGAGGGGGCTGACGACTCTGTACAAAATGATTTCGGATAAAGACATGATCTGGTATGAGGATGGCGCTGGGTGATTGGGGTTGTAGATGCGTTCTTATGAAGCGGGCTAATAGCATTTACACCGTTTTAACGAACAAGCTTGTCTCTCTTCACTCCGTGACTTGTTACATATGTGTTCCAGCTTGTCGTTCCGCGTATAATGAGTGGCTACCGAGGACTTCTCATTCAAGCTTAGATATCTCGCATTCACGAGGTGACGCTCGAGGCACGTCGCAGTCCATCAACCCTGTACGTACCCGCAGCTGCCAGGGTCCCCAGGATTTTCCCAGTGATCTCACAGGCAACCGATAGGGGGAAGCACCGCTAAAAGTACGCCGATAAGGCGCCACCCCACCACGGGCCAACATGTAAGCTCCCCCGTCCTTCCGTCTTTCATGAAAGATCACAAGAACTTCAGACCGTCCAACTTTGCTTCAAAAGAAGATCCTTTCTCACCAGGCTCTCGTCAGAATCTGAGAGAATCACCCCGCCGCCTGCTACAACCCGCCGCGAGGATCCTACGGGGAAAAAACAACCTACAGTCCTGCAGCCGACCTCGACGTCACCCGGTCACCCGGTCACGATGGGCGACTTAGCAGACTTCCTCACGGAACACGACCAGAACTTCCGCAAGTTCGTCCAACTTACTTCCCCACCTCTATGATAGCCTGAGATTTCTAACCAGACTGGCAGAGCACGTCTCCCCGCCCTCTACTCCGACTTCCGCCCCCAGCGAACCCTGAACCCCGATGGCTTCCAAGCAAATATGAGCGCCTGGCGGCAGGCCCTCGCCCGCGCGGCCTGGGAAGGGAGGATACCCTCGCAGCTCTCCGCGCCGAACCTGCTCGTAGTAGACGTCGACGATAACCTCCTCCGCGCCCTCGAGAGCAAACAGTTCGGCCGGCCCCTCGCCCTGGGTACGGTCGTCCGCGAAGCCGTCGCTGACAAGGACCTCTACCCTATCAAAGAGTTCCTCGGCGCAAAGGACAGCATATACGCCAAGACGTGGTCGCAGGTGCCGTGGAGTGTCGTGTCATGGGCGGCGGGGCAGCTCGGATTCGGCGGCGGGTCGACGTCGGGCGAGGACAAGCTGCCTAAGGGGCAGTTCGTCGTGCTCAAGAACGTCGAGACCACGGCCAAGAAGCTCGCGGAGAAGGTCAGCCCCGCGGACACGAGGTTCGACCGCACGTACACAAAGACGCATTTCCAGAAGACGTTTGCGGATGCGCTGGTCGAGCAGAGAAGGCTATCCGAGAAGGACGTCGACATCCTCCTCGTCTTCCTGTCGCGCGACAAGGGGCTGGTGGTGTACGATGGCAAGGTGGTCAAGATCAAGGGGTCAGGGGCGGACGAGGACGAGGCTTCGATAACGGAGGAGGACGCCGCCGTGTCATCCTTGAAGGAGCTCATTGAGGACCTGCAGAAGCAGACGACGCTGCTCTCCACGCGCATCGACGAGCTCACCGTCACTGCGAAAGAGGCCGTCGCGAAAAAGAACAAGGTGGCGGCGATGGCGGCGCTCAAGTCGAAGAAGGTGGCCGAGAACTCGCTGCAGACGCGCTTCGCAACGCTGGGGCAGCTCGAGGACGTGGCGGCGAGGATCCAGACGGCGCGCGACCAGGTGCAGCTCGTCAAGGTGATGGAGGCGAGCGCGGGGGCACTCAAGGGACTCAACGAGAAGGTCGGCGGGGCGGACCGAGTCGGAGACGTGGTCGCCTCGTTGCGGGAGCAGATGGGCGAGGTGGACGAGGTGGGCGATATCATTGCGGATGCGAACGCGGCGCCGGCGGACGAGGTGGAGGTCGACGACGAGTTGGCGGAGATGGAGCGCGAGGAGAGGGAGAAGGAGGAGGCGAAGGAGAGGGCAAAGAAAGAAGCCGAGGAGGCCAAGGTGAAGGCGAGGAGAGAGGCGGAGGAGGCCAAGGAGGCGGAGGAAATGGAGAAGAGACTCGAGGCAGAGATGCAAGGGCTGAAGGCGCCGGCGACGGAACCTTCGGAGGAGAAGACGCCTTCGAGGGAGACGGCAGAGGGCCTGGAGAAGTTGGAGTTGGAGGAACGGCCGCAGCCACAGGCGGCATAGAGACCATGACTTATGTATCATGCACGGTGTTTTACGATAGATGGTGGCGTTTGGGAATTCTGTACATTTATGTTGGAGGGTATCATAATGAAGCGACATCGCATATGCTATTATTTACAACAGAACGTTCACCGTGCTTCTTGGCTATTTGTTGCGCCAATGTCCACCGCGGGTATCTGCTCTGAGAAGCCGTCCTGCAAGTAATATGCCGACGAGGGTGGTTTTGTAATCGCAGCCTCGTGAGCGGGAGTGGCCACATGGTCCACAGATGGCTCCGTCAGGTCAACCATCGTGACCTCCGCTCCTGCGGTCTCAACCATCTCCAAACTCTTCACCCTTTCTGTGTTCTCCACGACACCTGGTGGAGCAGCATCCGACTCTTTCTGTGCCGTAGCATCTTCAGCAGTCGCTTCCTCCGTCTTCTGCTTCGCCTGCGCCCTGCTCTTCCTTGCATTCGCAATCAAGTCCTTGAACGAGTCGTCGTGCTTCACGGCCCACGCCGCGCCATCGAACTCCTTATCCTTGACTGCGGCTCCCGGACGGGCCGCGAACATGGGCGCCTTCGCGCCCTGCGTGCGCTCCCACACATCAAGATCATGCAGCAGCTCCGCGCGGCGTTTCGGGCGCGCCGAATCGCAGTTTGCGTTCCACAGCGTCACCCACTCCTTGTGGCGCTTCTCGAGCTGCTGCCGCGTGCCGTTCGTGGAAAGGCCGAGGTCGGACATTCTCTTGCGGAGGGCAACGTCCTTAAGCATGGAGTAGGCTATGGCGGGGAGGCGCTCGGGAGCCGGAGTCTGGCGTTGGGGAGCGGCGCCGCGGGCGGGCGTGTTCGGGGTCGGGGTACGGCTCGCGCTGGGACGGGAGGGCTGCGGCTGGGGGCCGGGACATTTGTCGAGGTGGCTAAAGACTTGGAATTGCTTCATGCGGGTTTGGCAGATTGGGCAGGGGACGAGGCCATCTTCTGGTGCTGGAAAGTTGTCAGTGAGGGGCGTAGGCTAGCAAAGATGGGGGTTGCTTACTGAATGTTGCGTCGTCTGCTTCGTCGTCCTCTTCCTCTTCTCTGGGCTCTGGACTGTGTTCCTCCTCCAGTTCTACCACCGTGGATGACTGGCCCGCCCTTGTCCTGCTGAGTCGCGCTGAGCTCCTAAGTCTCTTCGCCTCGGGCTGGTGTTCCGGCGCGGAGTCTTCCTCCACAAGCTTCCTCTTCGGCGACGAGCCTCTGGCGGAGGCCTGGCCGGCGGTCCTGGCGAACTCCAGCGTCGTTTTCCTCGCCTTCGTAAACGACTCGACAATCTCCTCCATGGCCCAATTACTCCTTAACTTCAGCTCCTGGTCAGAGGCGCGGCAGAGCGGGCATTTGCCTTCGTTGGAGAGGGCGCGGCGGATGCATAGCGAGCAGAAGGTATGGCAGCAGGACGTGAGCATGGGCGTCTTGAAGAAGTCCTTGCATACTTGGCATCGCAGCGCGGCTTCTACGGCCGAGAGCCCTGACAAAGGCGTCGAGAGCCAGTCTGTGGAGTCGGGGACGTCGTCGAAGTTGTCAGCCATGCTGGGCGAGCGATGTCGTTGATCGAGAGGATTCTGGACAGGACTTCGTAGTAGAAGAGTATGCAACACTTCTGGCCTGAGGAAGGCACCGGTAAGGCAGGCTATGAACGGTTTTAAGACGATCGCGGCCTATGCGAAGAAAGTGTGCCGGAAGTTTTCAGAAAGAACGTCAAAGTCGCGTCGAGGAGAGTGGTGGCGCGCTGGGCCTAGGCCAGGGACCGGGCTATTACAGGGGCAGGTGTTTAAGTGGATCACGTCACCAATTGCGCCTGCCTGAGTGGTTCTAAGAAGGTACGTACCCAGAAATCAATTTACGCGTCTTGATCGCGTCCTGTCGACCCTTATCATCCCTCCTACATGAGAGCATCGTGAAAACGAGAGGGCGAGGTTTGACTCCAAGGGCATTTTCACTCCTCCGCACTGCATCTTGCTGTTCAATAACACCGGCATCCTCACCACAAAATTCCGAAAATGGACGAGTACAAGAAGTACCTGGCAGACCAGGTCCTCAGCGAGGAGAAAATTGTAAGACGCCGCTTCATCTCATTTGCTAAAGCTCGGTACTGACAATGGTCTAGGTCACATACAGAAGTCTTAGCAGGGCACTCAAGACTCATGTGAATACTGCAAAGGCGTGAGTTCTTCCACAACTACTGCGCACTATAGCTGCTCATTTTCTCCAGTATGCTGTATGAGTTTCACCGATCCCAGAATGCCATGCGCCCCGGCACCATCCATGCGACCTACCTGATTTATGGCATTCGCAAAGTGGAGAACGTCCAAGAAGATGGCGATGTCGAGATGACCAGCTCTCCTCCCGATGTCGAGCCTTTGTCCGAAGATGTCGTCACTTACTCCTTGTCCCTGGTTCCCGGCGATCGTCTGAAGGGTAAGAATGATTGTTGATAGCCTAGTCGGGCAACGTGCTAAAGCAAATTCACAGAGGTCCTGGCTTCGTACGAAGATGTTTCTTCGTTCCATGTCTACAGTCTGGCTCGTCATCCCATCAGAGTAGGTGCAGTAGCCCCCTCGCATACCCAGGCACTAACAAGACCAAGGAACCCCAGATGCTAGCAGACGTTGCCCAGCAGGTTCGCGAGCAATCCGGTGATGACAGCATATCCATGCTGGAGACGTACGGCTCTATCACAAATCCCAATGTACGAAAGCGCGATCGCAAGGGCAAGCCAGTTCCTACGCCCGCACCTGTTGCTTCGGCGGCCAAGCCCGTCAAGAAGGAACCGTCTCCACCCACGGCCAAGCCCGCTGCCGACAAGAAGGCAGAGGAGCCGCTCAAGAAAGAGGCGAAGCCTCCTGCCAAGGAGTCTCCATTCTCAATGGCTGCCGGCAAGAAGGGTGCAGCACCTCCCCCACTGAAGAAGAGCGGCTCTTCAGGTATCATGGGATCGTTTGCGAAGGCCGCAGCAAAGGCTGCGAGCAAACCCAAGGAAGCACCGAAGAAGGCACCACCATTCAACGACTCTCCTGCTCTATCCGACGACGGCGAGGACGATGACGAGGATATTCCGGCTGCCAAACCCTCCTCTGATGGAAGGAAGTCCAGAAAGGAGCGCGAGGCCGACTTGAAGCGCATGATGGAGGAGGAAAGTGAAGAAGAAGAAGAGCCTGAGGAGAAGGAGGAGGAGCCCGAAGACGAGCCGATGGAGGAACCTGAGCCTGAACCTGAAGCGAAGAAGGAGCCAGAGCAGTCCGAGGTCGTTGCTAGCAGCGGCGACGGCAGACGGCGCGGCAAGAGGAAGGTGATGAAAAAGAAGCAGATCATGGACGATGAAGGATATCTGGGTAGGTTCTGTCTTGAAATATTGGCATCATTGATACTGACGTTAGGACACCAGTTACTATGGAAGAGGCCGTCTGGGAGGAGTTCTCAGAAGACGAAGCACCGAAATCAACTCCCGCTCCAGCTGCTAGGCCCAAACCTTCGACAGCCCCAAGCTCCGGCAGCCAGGCTTCGAAAACCAAGAAGGCTGCGCCAAAGGGGCAGGGCAACATCATGTCGTTCTTCTCTAAGAAGTGATTGGAGTTCCGGTGTAAATGGCTAGAATGGGGGGGCTTGCATGTCACTCGGAGATGAACATCAAACCACAAAGTAATATTGCCTTATTGAAGGAATACTGAAGACGATGTCAGAGTTAGCTGATGATATGATATCAAAAATTGAGCAAGTTGCATGTCTCAATTGGACCTTTGAAAATCACAGCGCGGGAAAACTGGCTGATGAGTTGGTCCCAGAAGAGAAACAAACAAATGTTTTATCAGCACCGGCCGCAACATCAAACACGGCAGATCGGACGTGAAGGCGGCACGGCGGCCCCGCGCGCACCCCGCAGTGGATCCACGTCGTTAATGCCGGACGCTAAGGGGGCGTTTGGCCCCCTGTCAGAGCTCCTGCAAGGGACCACAGTGACGAGATTCCCCCCCGGGCCCCAGCCAAGCGCAGGCGCAGCGGACACCTGGCTGTCGTGGTGTGGTGTGGGAGCTCCCGTCCCAATTTCTTGCATCCGTCCGCTCGGCATCAAACTCCAAAACAACTCGTTGCGGTGAACCACTCTCCCCTTCTAGAGGTTGCTGACGATACCCATGCGGACATAAGACATACCGCGGATTTCTTCTGCTTGCCTTTTCGGCCTCGAAGTCATGTCCCTCCGTACCTTTGTCGACGTGCTGCTGCCGCTTGCCGGTCTTCTTGTCGGCCATGTCTCCGCGGCGCAAGAGCCTCTTACTGGCGAGGACCGCGGCGCGTGCCCCAATTACGAGCAGTACTCTACTCATCCCCAGTATGTTGCAGACCTCTCTTTGCTGTTGACCTTGCTTGGGAATTGATGCTGACTTGCTGGTTACAGTAAGCCCCTGAGCGAAGGCCCTCTCGGTCTCCCCTACCAAAGACCCGATCCACGATGCCGTACATTCCACTCTGAAGCGATTGAGAAGGTCATCCAGGATGTGACATCCCGAATGAAGGACCCCGACCTGGCTAGGCTTTTTGAGAATGCTTTCCCCTCAACCACAGACACAACGGTAAAGTTCCACACCGACGGGACGGACACTAGATTTGTCGACCTGAACGGCCGAAGCTTGCGCGACGAGGGCAAGTGGGAGGGCCCGCAATCCTTCGTGATCACGGGAGACATCATTGCAGAGTGGCTGCGCGACAGCACGAACCAGCTGTCCCCCTACCAGGCCCTGGCCAAGAAAGACCCCGCCATCTTCAAGCTCATCCTCGGCGCCATCAACACTCAGTCCGAGTACGTTATCGAGTCACCGTACTGCAATGCCTTCCAGCCGCCCCCAATTGCGAACCTGCAGCCGAGTCATAACGGACAGGACGACACCGTGCATCCAGTCTACGAGCCCTCGTTCGTGTTTGAATGCAAGTACGAATTGGACTCGTTGGCGCATTTCCTAGCTCTGGGAAATGACTTTTACGAGCACACCGACTCCAAAGACTTTTTGACGCCGAGATGGTACCTTGCTCTTGAGACGGTGCTCGACGTGCTGGAGCAGCAATCACACCCCACGTTCGACTCGGCGACGGGTCAGTACCAGAGGAACGAGTACACTTTCCAGCGCAAGACGGACCTTGGAACCGAAACCTTGAACCTCAAGGGCGTAGGCAACCCGCTCAACAACGGAACAGGTCTCGTGAGATCAGCTTTCAGGCCCAGCGATGATGCGACCATCCTTGGTTTCTTCATCCCGGCCAACGCCATGATGGCTGTCGAGTTGAAGCGCACGGCGGAGGTTCTGAAGGCCGCTGGGAAGGACGTACTTGCGCAGGAGGTGGCCAAGTGGAGCCAGACCATCACTGATGGCGTTTGGGAGCACGGCGTGGTGAAGCACAAGAAGTACGGTGACGTGTTCGCGTACGAAGTTGACGGATACGGCTCGTCTATCCTCATGGATGATGCCAACTATCCCTCGCTTCTCGCATTGCCTCTCATGGGATTCTTGCCTCCAGAGGACAGGACTTACCAGAACACACGAAAGATGCTTCTGGAGAAGACTGGCAACCCGTACTATCTTGAGGGCCGGGCTTTCCATGGAATTGGAGGTGAGTGATTGTCATTTTTACCTGAGAATGATATACTAACTCTGCCAGGACCCCACATTGGTCTATCCAATGCCTGGCCGATGAGTCTGCTGATCCAGGCCCAAACATCCGAGAACGATGAGGAGATCACAGAGTGCCTCGACCTCGTGCTGCGTTCTGCCCGTCTGGGTTTGGTGCACGAGAGTGTCGAGGTCAACCACATCACTTCATACACCAGAAGCTGGTTTGCATGTAAGAACTTGAGATCGAAACCAACTTGGTAGTGACGATACTGACTTATTCAGGGGCCAACGGTGTTTTCGCCGAGACAATCTTGGATATCGCCAAACGCAAGCCGCATCTGATCTTCACCGAGGCTAAACCCTACCAAGTGTAGGCGAGACGGACAATCCTGTAAACCACACGTAAATAGAGGTTCGCTGTAAGATGATTGGCGGAGGAGCATTGGGCATGGCGACTGGATTCGCTTCACCTGCATTTTTATACCCAGAGGGCCTCTCATGACCTAAATCGAATTTTGCATTAAGCTGGCTCGCTGCTCGTGACGTACCTACTCAGACCTTCATTGGGTCGCCATCGTAAATCAGAATATTACTTTTACCTCCTCTTTGGTCAGGTCTCCTATTTAACATTGTCAACATCCAAGGCACTGGATGACTTCCACTCAACCCCATCCTTCATAGCCTTCAACACTCTACCAAGCCGTACAACACCCTCCACAACATCCTCCTCAGGCTCCCACGAGAAACAAAGCCTAATCTCCCTCCCAAACCTCGCCGCCTCCTCGTCCCCGTGCACCTCAAACTGCGCCCCGTGCCCGATAACCAACTCCTCCGTCTCCTTAGCCCTCACCGCCGCCTCCCGGCTCGACATCCCCTCCGGCAACGTGAACCACACAAAGTACCCGCCATACACCCCAGCCCCCTCCAACGAGCTCTCCCGCACCGCCACCGTCCCGCCCAGCGGCTTCTGCACGTGCTCCGCGATAGCCTCCATCATCGCGCGGTGCCGCCTTGCCAGCGCCGGCCGCGTCTTCTCGTCGAGGTGCCGCTGCACCTGCCCACTGGCCAGCAGCTCCGCGACGAGCATCGCCGCGAGCTGGCTCGGCGCGCCGCCGCTACAGGTCGACCCCGTCTGCGACAGGCCGTACGCGAACGCGGGGCTGCCCTCGGCCCAGCCGGTGCGCACGCCCGGGCCGACGATCTTGGAGAAGGAGCCGTTGGAGACGGCGTTGCCGAATGCGGAGGGCGGCACGCCGAGGGCGCGGTCGATGTCGACGAGGCGCGGGAGGCGCATCGACGGCGGGTAGGATGCGTCGCCGTCCGTGGGGGCGTGTGTCGTGGGCCATTGGAGGAAGTCGTAGACGTCGTCGGCGATGAGGAGGGCGTCGTGTTGGCGGGCGAGGCGGACGAGGTCGTACCGCCGGCGCAGGGACATTGTCTTGCCTGTCGGGTTGGAGCAGGTTGGGACGAGGTAGATTACGTGGCGGTAGAGCTTTCGCTTTTTGGCTTGTTTGAAGTGCTGGAGATGTGTGTGTTAGCTTGAGCTCACTTTACTTCTCATGTATAATGAATGACATGTGAATGGGGAACAACGAATACTCACATCATCGTTTCCCTTCCCAGCGGCTTCGAGCCCCTTTCTCAGGTACTCCAGATCAATGCCCTCATTACCCTCCGGCACGGCCTTCAGCCGCCCGTCGAAGCCCGCATCCGCGAAGATGGGACACGCAAGGAAGTAGCACGGCGCGACCATCCACACGTTCTGCGTGTACAGCGGGTCCGTGAAGGACTGCAATATGCACGCGAGGTTCTGGCTTGCGCCGCCCGTGATGCAGATGCGGCTGACGTCGGGAGGGTGGTGCGGGAGGGCAGCAGTGTCGTTACTCGCCTCCGCCGCGGAAAGGAGGTCCTGGGTCTCCTCGGGCGTTTCACCCGCGATCGGATAGAACGCCGAAAGCCATTCAGCGAGGGCGTCGCGGAGCGGTTGGTAGCCCGGGTCCGGTCCGTACTGGAGACCGGGGACGTAGACGGCCGGGTCGGCGAGGGTCTTGACGGCGGCGGCGGAGAGGGCTGCTGCGGGCAGGAGGGAGGGCGAGGGCCAGCCCCGAAGGAGGTTTATGGGTTTCTTTTTGAGAGGGGCGTTCATTGTGGTTTCTCGTCCTTGAAATCGAGACGTTGATGAATACTGGTGAGTGAGAGGGTGACTATGTGATGAGACGCGGATAAGATCGGGATAGGCCGCGGGGCGGGTACTGATGTGGGTTTCGGCGCGGGACACTGAGGGGCGGGCGATGTGGGTGAGGGGCCGGTGGTGAGGTATCTGGACAAGATGTTTCGGGACTTTGAACAGGCTGCGCTTCATTACCTCTTTTGCCCGAGGTCTCTGTGAGTAGTGCGGGAGAGAATTGACTTGGTGCTTGGAGGAGAAGGCGATTATTTATGTCATAGTAGTTTGGTGTCAAAGTGAAGTTCAAAGCGGTACGCTCCGACTGCGGAGGTGAGATAACACCCCAACGGCTAACATGCCTTTTTGAGCGCAGGAATGGGCGGTCCTCGCCCCATAATATTTTGCAAAGCGTGGCACGGTATCCATGAGACCACGCCAGCTCTCAGGTATTCCAACATGACACGCTTCAGTCCGTAAGATGATCAAGAGTGATGAGCAAAGAACAGGGGGTATCATGTTTGCTGAAATACAGTATACTACAGTTGTGTCTAGCCTTGAAAACCTCTCTGTCTTACCATCCCCACGTTCTTGTAGAAGCAGTGAACACCGGAGGCTTCCATTGAATCCTGCTAGGATCAATGAGACGCTTCTGCTTCACCTTCTGCCTCTCGCGCTGCTGGATGAGCTTCTCAGGAATCACGATCTTGTGCTCTCCCTTATGGTAAACCTGCATCTTAAGCGCTTGGAGAGTGTGTTCCACATCCTGGGGGATGACGGCCAGCTGCGACGAGATGGCTTCAATCGTCGCCTTCTCCTCCCGCTCGTTGTATCCCACCAGCAGATCAAGAATATTCTCACCCCAGTATTGTCGATAACTCAACAAACCCAAGTCAGAGAGCGGCTTTTCTGGCGAGCCGAGCTTGCCCTCGATCTTGGATAACTCGTATGAGAACTGAATGAGCAAGCGACCGTAGCCTTTCCGCTGGTACTGCGGCAACGTCAGAATACAAGCGACGTTGTAACCGTCTGCGCTCTCTTTTTCTTTTGAGAAGTATCCGATAATATGGCAGCCTTTGTCGTCCCGACTCGCCATGACATAGAATAAGAAGGGGTCTACGTCGTAGTAGAGTGTCTTGTGATCCAGAAACATCTTGGATAGTAGACACAGGTTGCGGCAGTATGTTCGCTGCCGCCTGCCGTCAATCTCGAAGAACGAAACAGAGTCATCCCGGTAGATTTCGTTTCCAGGAGGGTGCTGCAAGGTACACTTGCGCCGGTGTCTCGAAAATGCCTTTTCGTCGCCATAGTACCCGAGGCAGAACTCGCAAATGTATATAACGTCCTCCTGGTTAAAGACCTCTGGGTACGGTGAGAAGTACCACGGGAACAGGTCATTCCTGCCAAATTGCACTTTAGAGATATTTCGGATTCGCGAAATCTCAGCAGGGTTCTGCGTCATGGAGCCATGCGTCCTAAGCTTCTCAATCTCTTTTTCGCGGCTGAAGCCGCCAAGGTCCTCCTTCTGATCTCCGTCGTCTCCATCGATGTCCATCTCGTCACCGACAGCCGCTGGTGTCGCGGTCGCCTCACCCGTCGCGGGGGTTTGTGCCTGGCTTTCTTCGGCTGTGGGAGTCATCTTCTGGCTTTGCGACTCGACGAACTCGGTCCATGGGTGCGGTGTTGTGGCCTCGGAGGGCGCAGATTGTTCCCTCTTTGCGGGTCTCTTCTGAGACTTTTTGGCGGGTTGCGCTTTCTTAGAAGTCGCCGTGCCCTTCTTAGTCTTTGCATCCTTAGGCTTGTCCTTGTCCGGGTTCGGCCACTCTACATCTTGGTCAAAGTCGATGCGGGAGGTCGGCACCCACTCGTCGAGACGCTTGTTGAAGTTGTCGAAGTTGCAGTAGAATTGACGTCCGCTCTTCGTTTCTTTTATACTAAGGATTTCGGCTCTGCGAGGGACGCCCTCCTTGTTTACCATAGCAATGCATCCTATCCTATGGTGCATGGGTCAGTCGGAGTGGTCGATGGGGAATCTGGTGGGGTGAAGAAATGACGTACCTGATTGTCTCTGGCGTGGCCCTGCCCTTTTGTCTGGGCTCTCCAGAGCCGACGGTGGCTTCGCCGTTGGAGCCGTGTGCCGCCATGATGAATGCTCTAGGTTGTGGCTGTTGTTTGATGATTTTCGTCGCAAACTGAGCTTCCTGCGTTCTGTCGCAAAAGATGATGGTGGAAGCGGGAAAAGGAAGGTGGTGTGGCAGAAAACGCGATTAAATCAAAGGCGGTGAAGAAACTGCCGCGAACCCCTGCCATGTAAATGGGACCCGCTGCCCCATACTGCTGTTCCGCGCTCCGTTAATTGCATCTTCTCATTTTTCGCCAATTCTCGAACGAGCAACCCGATGTTGGCACTCGATCCCGGACTCTTTCTCAGCAATCAAATTCAACGTCTCAAGGGCAATTTTTGGTCTTGCAGGGCTCGGTGTGAGCTTTCACATCGAAGACGTCTACGTCCTACTCGATATCATGGCTCCTGAGCTGTCATCAAATTGGAAGAAGCTTCAGGCTCAACTCAAGGCCGCGCCTCCTTCTTCCACTACCGGGGCAGTGAAGAGAAAGGCGGACTCTTCAACCCAGCAGCCAACCAAAAAACAGAAGCTCAAGTCTGAGAACAAGCCCGCCCCGAAAGCCGTTCAAAAACCCAGCCAGAAGAGTTTCCAGAAACCCACCAAACCGAAGGGCGACCGGATGGGTGTTGCACAGAGTTCCAAGGTTGAAGTCGACCTGGACCCCAAACTCAGGACCACACCTTCCCTTGCACTCTGGGCTGCAGACAATGACGTCTCTTCAGAAGCGCTGGCCGAGGCGTACGGTCTGGGGCTGAAGAATAACTCGATGCTTGCATCAGACAAAGACAAGGTCAACGCTGGTCTCACAGAAGGACTTGACGTTGGGAAGTACATCGCCATGGACTGCGAAATGGTCGGCGTCGGGCAAGGAGGGTACGAGTCTGTGCTGGCTCGGGTGAGCATGGTCGACTTTCACGGCCGCCAGGTTTACGACTCATATGTGAAGCCGCAAGAAAAGGTCACCGACTGGCGGAGCGCTGTGAGCGGTATCCTGCCGAAGCACATGAGATTCGCGCGAATTTTCAATGAGGTGCAGACACAGGTTGCCGCACTACTCAAGGACAGGATACTGGTCGGCCATGATGTGAAGCACGACCTGGACGCTCTCAAGCTCAGCCATTCAATTAAGGATATCCGCGACACCTCCAACCACCCAGGCTTCAAAAAGTTCGCCAACAGCAGGAAGCCAGCGCTGAGGAAATTAGCAGAGGAGATTCTGAAAGTCACCATACAGACCGGCGCCCACTCGAGTATTGAAGACGCGAGGGTAACGATGCTGCTCTTCCGCAAACACAAACAAGCCTTTGACGTCGATCACGCAAATCGCTTTCCCGGCTCTGGGGGCGCATCTTCAAAACCGAAACCAAACTCAAAAAAGACTAAAAAGAAGAAATGAGCTTCAAGTCTAATCGCCTACGGTCTCTGCTGCGTCGGAGTCGTGACCCCGAATGTCCTTCATCATTACCACCGCCTGAGCCTTCGGGGGCTCACCACAATCGCCGCAACGCCATGCATTCCGCCTCTTCAATTCAGAATAATCCCTTTACAGAGGAATACCCTCCATCAACTCCAAGGCGCCCTCGCGGCCAACCGTTATTATAACATCGCCGAGCGTTTTCGTCAGGAATCCGGCTTCGCAGTATGTGAAGTAATACTGAGAACTCATTAGCATAGACCAGGAACTGCCAGATGGTGCATCCTCTTACCTCCCACTTCCTCCTGAATACATCAATCTCTTCCTCGGTCATGTTCTCGTGTTCCAGCTTCAGAGCTGGCCGGATCTTCTCGTCAAAGTTTTGCAGGAACGCCTCCTTCCACAGGCGCAGCGTTTTTGAGTAGTGCCCACCAATGTTTTCGACCTTCTCGACGATGAGCGTTCCCCTTGACTCGTTCGTAATGTGGTTCAGCAGCTGGGTGATGGACGGCAGGTACCCGCCGGGGAAGATGTAATGGTTGATGAAACTGTTGCTCGTCAGCGCCGCGCTCTGTGTAAGCCCTGCTCTTGCCGTTCACTCACTCTTCTCCCTTGGAGTACGCCTCATGGCGACCCTCTGGCATGGTGATGCACTGGAAGACCGCGATGCCGACATCCTTCTTCAGCAGCTTGTCCATGCACGCGAAATACGTCGCCAGGAACTCCTGCCCAACGGCTTCCAGCATCTCAATCGACACGATCTTGTCAAACGGCTTTTCTGGCACCTCCAGCGCCCGGTAGTCCATCAGCCTCACCTCGATCCGGTCGCTCAAGCCCGCCGCCGCGATGCGCTCCTCCGCGAGGGCCTGTTGTTCCTTGGACAGCGTCAGACTGGTGACGCGGCACCCCGTCGTCTTCACCGCCTCGATCGCGAACGAGCCCCAACCGGTGCCGATCTCCAACACATGGTCCGAAGCCTTTATGCGCGCGCCGTCGATGAAGCGGTGCAGCTTGGTCATTTGCGCAGCCTCCAGGCTTTCTTCCGGCGCGTTCGGATCGGTTTGCGGTTGCCAGATGGGGCATGAGTACGTCATGTCTGGCGAGAGGAAGGCGGCGAACATTTCGTTACTGATGTCGTAATGCGCCGAGATGTTGAGAAGCGCGTTCGAGAGGGTGTTCGTGGTGCGGGCCAAGCTTGAGATCGCGGCGGAGAAGCTTGAGATCCACGTCGTCCCGTTGCCCATTTCTTCGCGATTGACAATGAACAGCTGTTGCGCAACTCAACATTAGCTCACTGTGACAGGCAATTGAATGAAATGCCGCGCAAGGATAACATTTTACTGACCTGGAAGAAGGCGGTCAAGTCTTTACACTCGATCTCCCCAAGCATGTACGCCTCCGCGAAGCCCATGTCGGCGAACAAGAAAAGGCGCATCCAGAAGGCATCACTCTTCACGACCAGCTCGACGCGGGGCACGGCGTCGGCGCGGCGCGGGACATGGTGGTCACCGTTGGTGAGGTTCTCGTTGTACTTTGCGCCGAGCTTCTGGCCGAAGACGTGCCTCGACTCGGCGGGCTCGTCGACCAGCAGCAGCGTGCCGCGCTCAATCTTCGAGAACACGGAAAAGATGGCGGGCTTGGCTACGGACAGCGCCGGGCCCCAGGTCAGGCTCCCGACCGCACCTCTCACCAGCTCCGTCCCGCGGGACAGCGGCTGGGCTACGGCCGCCGGGACGAGAGAGGGCAGCTTGGGCATAATCGGTTCCGTTCGAGGAAAGGCAAAAAAAAACTCAGTTGGTTTCTATATGTCTCTCTCTCTCTCTCCCCAGCTTTCTTGAGGGAGCGCGGGGGAAACAGAAAAAAGGCCGATTGACGTATAAGACGGGAAAGCGCAAAAAGGCGGTGGTACGAATTGGGGACGAACCGAATTACCGTCAATTGGATTGGGCGGGACGCCGAGGGAACCTAAAGCAAGCTCTCAAGGTACAACTCTGGGATCTTGCATCTGCTTTGTTTTGGTTCCTCGGTGATGGAGGGGGGCTGGACTTGGGATTGGATGGGGGAGGGAGGGTTGAGAAATGCGGGTAGGTTTAGCTATTATCAGGACGGTAGTAGCAGCAGCAGGAGCAGTAGCAGAAGTAGCAGCAGCAGCAAAGGCAATGTCGGAACGTTGTGGTGTTCACGTCTGAGACCACGAGGCAGGGCGGGACGATCGTTTTATTGCTACACTATGTCACCACACAGCATTTCTTTTGGAGGGCGACAACGGCTGGGAGGGGTGGTTAGAGGAGCCAGCCCCGCGGCGCATAGGTGTTCCCTCTAGCTACATAGAAGAGAACAGAAGAAAAAAGGGCCACCGGCAAATGCTCTTGTTGACCTTTCTCTCTCGTCACGGATGCAACGAGCGCGTGCTTCTTGTCTCGCCCATCGGTACCGTCGCAAGCCCGAGGGCCAAAAATGTGGGCGGGAGAGGGTCCCGACTGGGATGAGGATGAGTGGGATGGTGGGTGCGGCAGGGGTAGCTCAGACGGGAATCTCTCGGGAGGGGCAGAGGCCTTGGCCATCGCTTGTTTCATTGAGGACGTCGATGGACGTTATGGGTGACGATCACGGCATTGGCTTGAACCTGAGATGTATCCTTGTACAGATTCTTCAGACACATGTATCCAGATGCAATAAGGCACCGATCGTCTGGTGTGGATTGGGTGATTCCTCAAGAGTGTTCGCTGCGTGTCATTTAGAACCGCAACAGAGAAGAAGGGTGAATTCGCAGAGTAGCAGCAGCTTCAAACTCTCAACATTTCTTCTTAGGGCAGGGCTAAGACGGCATGATGTCGATTGGTACCAACGGAGACATGGCGAGCCGAGCGCATGGCAACGAACGCATGTGCGCCTTCATCGGAGTTTACCTTTGGCCTTGAGCAAGCTCATTCGCTGCTCGTGTCAAGAACCATTACATTTGCCAAAGTACCTACATCCATCCCACGGAACGAAGTCCTGGACCACCACCACCACCACCACCACCATGGACACTAGACCGGCCAGTGCGCCGCCCCGGAGCGTCCGGCCGGAGCCACGTTCAGCCATCGAACTGCTGCTAGTGTCAGTGATGGAAGCACGAGCTGCAGGTTTCGAGAAGCCGTCGAACGCTGCCTGTCCCCGGCTGGCAGAGGGGCAGGCGGACGAAACAAAACGGAGCCTAGCCTAGGGCAGGCTTGACGATTCAGGAGTCCATCGGCCATCGGATGAAGATGCTTATTTTGCATCAAGCGCGCTGACCTCGATTGCGCGTTTTCCTTCGTCTCTACATGGGCGCACGCATTTTCAGGGACTGGGACAATGCGCTTTCACGAGCAAAGAGACGCAATGGGGGTTTCTCTGCTGGAGCAAGTGAGGATACCTGCATTGATGCAGTGGCAGCACTTGGCAGATCCCTGCAGGGCCTGCGATGCGGCAGCATTCGTTTCTACGGCGAGGACGGCTGGCTGGTGGATTAGTCGTACATTCCCCTTGGGTTAGTCCGCTTGCCGACGGGCTGGGTAGGGTGCTTTGGAGTGAAATGCCAGTCGAGCCGTCAACGATTTTCCCTTGACACCGGTTTCCCATCTTTGAACAAAAGTCCGTCCGTCGGTGCGAGCTCCGATCCAGCAGAGAAACGCTCGATGACCGGCTCTGCGGGAGCTGTCGAGTCGTCGCCTTGTGAGAGAGAGGCGAGCTACAACGAATTAGACGAGGCGTCGAACCCGATTGGGGGCTGGTCCCCGTAGATGGTACACGCCGAGGAGGGGAAGCACAGGGTCTGCGGAGCATTTTGTGTGCTTCTGGAAATTCGGCAGGGGTTGTTCTCATGTCAATGACATCAAGACTTTGATCGTCTCCACCGCCGCCGCCAATTGCATGGCTGAGATTTCGTGCAGGACTCGACTCCGAACTTCGTACTCCGACGAGGGAAAAAAGTCAGAGGTCAGATGGGCATTGAGTTGTACGTCTGAGAAGATTGGATTTTTGTAAGGAATAAAGAAAAAGGATGGAATCATTACGAGAAAAGTGTCAACGTGGCTGGGGGGCCTGGGGCGGAACTTCTGGGTGTTTCAACATCCGGTCTTGCAGCAACTTGGGTATGTAACCAAATTGACCACGTACTTGTCTCAAGACACCTAACCCGCCCGTGGGACCGACCGTCTTAATAAGGCTTATGTGCCTTGTTCCCTGGGCCATGGGAAACGATCCCTGTGGTAACGGGTAGAGATGCAAGACGAGGCATTCGGGTCTCGAAGGAGGCTGGGTGTTGATCGTGGATTGGACAATCAGGACTCAACTAGCACAATGCATGTCTCTCAGCAGCAGCGCGCCTTGTAACATCACCCAGCCTCTTCAGCCCAGCCAGAGCGCGCAGCCTGACTCAAAGTGTGCCTATAGCTTCCCCGTCTGCCACACCTTACAACGTCTGCACCAGTGAACGAAGCGTGCACGCATGGGCAGTGTTGACAGAAAGACTGTCGTGCCGTCATGATGTGGTCGGATACATACAGCGTACATACAGTACAATCCTTGCGGCTGGCCTGGCCCGAAGCCACTGAAACAGCGGGTGGAAAGGTCTTGGAGGGGGGCTCGTGCACCGTGCACCACACCCTCTCTTCTGAAGCCAAGACCTGTCTTATCGATCCCGATAAGCTTATCGAGACGCCTTATCGGCTTTAATTGAATTTGGATCGCGTCTCTTTCGGAAAAGACGCGTCGTGTGATACTCGGTCCAAAGAATCGCACGTCTGCGACACTCATCCCCTGCGGGTTTAACCAGATACGAAGTCACCATGTCGCAACCAATCCTCTCTATCCAGTCCGGCGACTCTAGCAAGAGCAAGGCAGTGACTAACCTGCTGCCTTGCCGAATCCATCACGACGGCCCAATTGGCGAGGTCGATTCCTCCTTTTGGAATCCCACGAAGACAGATGGTTCGCACATCTCCCGTTCTCCTCCTAAAACAAAGGCATCATCCTAACTCTACATCACAGATGGAAAGAACGTAGCATACTTTCGAGGAAGGAAGCTCCACGGAACGACGGTCAAGCTGCCCAAGCAGTACAGAGGAGTGGTGATGGAGAAGAGCGACAAGATCGAGAACAGGCAGTCCGAAGTCGAGGAGGAGGTTGAAGAGGAGGAGCCGCTAGTTGAAGTGGGTGCCATGGACGTCAAGGCCGAGTTTGACGAGATGGTCATCTGGGGACACGAGGCCAGCGCCGAGGCTGCGTCGGATCCATACGTCAGGAGTATTGAGGAGTGGCTCACAGTGGCGGACCAGGTTTGTGGTGACTGTGTTCCGATTTGGATCTCGTCTAACTAATATTGATGATACAGATACACTCATACGCATCACCAGACAACAAGAACGGCGCATAGGGAGATGATGGCGCATAATTGCTGGGGAATATTCAGCCCAGAAGCCCCATCCACGGAGGTGACCAAGAGAGGCCAGTCGGGCAGTCACGGGGGCACTCATTCTTGATGCTGACCACCAAAAAGAATTGCTGCATTCTGTGCTGCCGTCTAAAAGAGTACCGCGGCTAGATTGAGTTCGTTGGTTAGTTATATTGCTTAGGCAGATGATGGCCGCATAATTGCATTGTTCAGGCGTTTGGAAAGGAAGGCCCGTATTCTGGCAGACAAAATACCACAAATCTCACAAATCATCAACATTATTGTTCTTTCCAATTGATAAGAGATGCAAAACAACAATACATTGCACTGGGCGGATGTGCTCGATCAACTGCAGAGACCCGACATCGAAGTGCTGCTCACCAGCATGCACTAACAATTAACCCGAAGGAGACTAGCGCCACTGTACTCAATCTACGCTGTCGCGACACCCCTGAGCAGCAACGCGTCCCAACGCGACTTGTGCCCCTCTCGCGTCAAAATCAATTAAGCCCCTGGCCAATTCTGCCGTCTCCAACTGCGAAAAAGGATCCATCGCATCCCACCACCCAAAATCCCACCTCCCCCAAAAATCACCATCCCGCATCACCGCCTTCAAACCCCCACCGCCAGCGCTGCTGCATCATACCCGAACAGACGACCACATTTTGAGCAGTCGCAACACCAAAGACAATAACAATGGCTGCTTCAAGCGACGCCGGCTTTATGATGTCGGACGCCCCGTCCCGCGCGGCGGGTACCCCTAGACGCCAGTTCATGCCCAGCTCCTCTGCCGGCAGGCCACGAGTGCCCCCTTCCGAGAGCATGGGCGCTCCCAGCGACGATGAGGCCGAGGGCTTCGCTGACGACCAGGTCCCGCGCGGCTCAAGGATACAGGACGCCTCAAACGTTCCCAAGGTCGAAGACAGGATCGGCCTACTGGTTCAGGAGCACTTTGAGGAGTTCATCGAGCAGTGAGTACCACTTCTGCCAGCTTTGATGCTTCTCCCAAGATCATAACTGACGACATGCCTGACAGGTTTGTTGAGGACTTTACCTCCTCTGCCCCAACATCCAGCGCCGTCACCACGGACAAATACTATGTCGCCCAGATCCACGGCATGCGCGCGCTCCAGCTCTCCACCTTCTACGTTGACTGGAAGCACCTGGAGTCCTGGAACAAAGGAGAATTGGCCGACGGTGTCCTCCGTGGATATTACCGCTTCCTCCCGTTCCTCACCGCTGCTCTCCACAACATGATCGCCAAGTACGAACCGCAATACTTCAAGGAGCACAGACAGCCAACCTCGTCGAGCAACCAAGCCACCTCCGCTGCCAGCAATATGGGCTCCGCTAGCCAGTCGGACATGGGATCCAAGACGGCCAACCAGCAGACTGACAAGCTTTTCAATATCGCTTTCTACAACATGCCCCTTATCTCGAGAGTGCGCAGTCTCAGAGCGACGAATATCGGTCAACTTCTCTCCATCTCCGGTACGGTCACGCGAACATCCGAGGTCCGTCCTGAGTTGTCGCTCGCAACCTTTGTGTGCGAGGCGTGCAGATCGGTTGTGCCAAACGTCGAGCAGACCTTTAGATTCACGGAGCCCACGCAGTGCCCCAACTCAACATGCCAGAACCGCCAGGCATGGCGATTGGACATTAGGCATAGCACATTTGTCGACTGGCAGAAGGTGCGCATTCAGGAGAACAGCTCTGAGATCCCCACAGGAAGCATGCCTCGTACGATGGACGTCATTCTGCGTGGTGAGATTGTCGACCGAGCCAAAGCAGGTGAGAAGTGCATCTTCACGGGTGCGCTCATCGTCGTGCCAGACGTCAGCCAGCTTGGCTTGCCGGGTTTGAAGCCGACCGCAATCAGAGATGACAAGCCTGCCGACGTTGGTGGTTCTGGCGTGACGGGTCTGAAGGCTCTTGGTGTGCGCGACCTTTCCTACCGCATGGCCTTCCTGGCGTGCATGGTCGTCCCAGATACCTCGTCGGCGGGTCAGTCTGCCAGCGGCCAGGTCCAGGACGTCATTAGCTCGTTGACCTCAGAGAAGTCTGCAGAGACTGCCGAGTCGGTGGAAGCTGCTCAGGCGGCTGTTCTCGCTTCCATGAATGAGTCCGAGATCAACGAGTTGCGTACCATGGTGCACAGCGATCACATTTACTCCCGCTTGGTGCAATCCATGGCGCCCACAGTTTATGGCCACGAAGTTGTCAAGAAGGGACTGCTTCTCCAGCTCATGTCCGGTGTTCACAAGACCACTGCTGAAGGCATGGAACTGAGAGGCGACATCAACATCTGCATTGTTGGTGACCCGTCTACTTCCAAGTCTCAGTTCCTGAAGTACATCTGTTCTTTCGCGCCCCGCGCCGTCTACACGAGTGGTAAGGCTTCTTCCGCTGCTGGTCTGACGGCCGCTGTCGTCAAGGATGAGGAGACAGGTGACTTCACCATCGAGGCTGGTGCTCTTATGTTGGCAGACAACGGAATTTGCGCCATCGACGAGTTCGACAAGATGGATATTGCCGACCAGGTTGCAATCCACGAAGCTATGGAACAGCAGACTATCTCCATCGCCAAGGCCGGCATTCAAGCCACCCTCAACGCCCGCACATCTATTCTCGCCGCTGCCAACCCCGTCGGCGGTCGCTATAACCGCAAGACCACTCTCCGTGCCAACATCAATATGAGCGCCCCCATCATGTCTCGTTTTGATTTGTTCTTCGTTGTTCTCGATGAGTGCAATGACTCCGTTGACCGCCACCTTGCCGAGCACATTGTCGGGCTTCACCAGCTCCGTGACGAGGCCATTGAGCCCGAATTCAGCACCGAGCAACTCCAAAGATACATCCGTTTCGCTCGCACGTTCCGCCCGGAATTCACCGCCGAGGCCAGGGAGGTTCTCGTCGAAAGGTACAAGGAGCTCCGCGCCGACGACGCGCAGGGCGGAATCGGCAAGAACTCGTACCGTATCACCGTTCGTCAGCTCGAGAGTATGATTCGTCTGTCCGAGGCCATCGCCAAGGCCAACTGTGTCGAGGAAATCTCACCCCCGATGGTCAATGAGGCATTCAACCTCCTCAGACAGAGTATCATTTCTGTCGAGCACGATGATGTCGAGGTTGATGATGAAGAGCCCGAGGACAGCGCTACCCTGCGTCGCGCGGCATCTGAGGCCGCTGGCCAGCCCGTTGAGGATGACACTGCCATGGCTGTCGACGAGGCCGCGCCCGCGCGACCCAAGCAAACCATCACGTACGAGAAGTACGTCAGCATGGTTAACCTGTTCCTGCAGCATGTCGTCGAGGATGAGAACGAAGGTGGCGAGGGTGTTGAGGGCGAGCAGCTTGTCGAATGGTACCTTGAGCAGAAGGAGGACGAGCTCCAGGGCGAGGAGGATTACCACCAGGAGAAGACCCTGGCCAACATGGTGCTCAAGAAGATGGTGAAGGTAGGCAGTTGTCCAGTCATACGATTCGTTGAAAAGATGCTAATTCAGGCGACAGAACAACTTCCTCATGGCCATCCGCGGCGAGGGCTTGATGGACGAAGATGGCAACGCCGGCGAAGGCGCGTCTGCGGCTGCGGCGAAGATTGTCTACGTCGTCCACCCCAACGCTGCTGTCGAGGAGATTTGAGTGGATGTCTCTCCCTGGCGTTGGTTAATTTTGAAGTAAAATGGAGGATAGTTGAATGCATCATGAGAAAAGTAATGTCTGCAGCATTTTGGCCTTTTTGAGCCTTGAGCAGTTGGGACGGCCGGGCATGTGTTGATACCGCCTGGGAGTTGTGGCGTTGGAGGACATTCTGCGTTACTGAAGAGGATATGCATATAAAGCAGAGAGCCGAGGTAGCAAGACATGTGGTCGTGCTGCAATTCATTATTCACAATGGGGTTTTTATTGTTCAACCGCAATGGTTCCAGCATTCTTCAACATCACTGATCTCGTAATATAATAGCAAAAGCAAACGCTGCTCGTCGTATCATTCTGTGGGCACTCATCGCCTGCAATGTCACCGGGTATTGTTGTAAAACCATTTTCATCATCATTCTTTCCTATCATGCACGCCTACGACGAGAACGTACCATCCTGGTTGACGTTCGGGATAAAGTTAGGACACAGCCACCCTCTGCCTTCGGGACAGGTAAAAATGACCTCCCCGTTCTTCCGCAACAAGCCCATCTGGAACCGCCACTCCGTCTTGACGGCGATCCCGTTGATCTTGAGCCAATACGCCAGGATGCCCTCGGGCGTACACGGCTCCTGCCCGCTGAACGTCTTCTCCCGCGAGTGCGTGTTGAACGCCTTCCACCGGCCGCCCTCCTTCTCGACGGTGCGCAGGTTGACGAACTCGCGGTAGAGGGACAGGTACGTGAACATGGCGTTGGGGCGGCCGAAGGCCGTGATGTCGGTGACGCCGGCGCGCAGCTCGCCGTCGTGCAGCATTGAGTACCACGTCCAGTCGAGCGCGACGCGCGGGGCGAGGATGCCGTTGTCGGGCACTTTCAGCGACGACAGCGCGGGGGAGCCGTCGCCCCAGAACTGCAGGTCGAGGCGGCCCTTGTAGATGTAGTCGTACGACACGCCCTTCTCGACCATGTAGCGCTGGACCTGCTGCGCGGCGAGGTACAGCGCCTTCCACTGGCTCAGCTGGTGGTTGAGCTTGTCGGCGCCGCAGGCCTTGACGAGGACGTCGGGCGGGTCGACGGCCTTCTCCTTGATGTCGTCGAGCTTCTTGACGACGACGGTCTTGAGGGCGTCGCCGAAGCAGGCGCGGAGGTTCTTGGCGATGGTGCCCTCGTCGGAGGTGTCCTTGTCGCCGGCGGCGTCGTAGACGTCCGTGTCGTAGGTGAAGACGTGCACGTCGACGCCGCCGGAGCCGGTCCAGGTCTTGACGAGCTTGTCGTTCTGCGCCTTGCAGGTCTGGAGGTAGGTGCGCAGGAAGCCGGTGTAGACGATGGCGGCGCGGCCCATGTCGTCGGCGGCGCGGTGGAGGGTGCAGGTGGTCTTGGAGCCGGCGCGGATGTGCAGCTTGCCGCTGTCGAGCAGCTCGAGGACGGGCTTTTCAGCGGCGCCGTCGCTGGAGTCGGCGGAGGCGCAGTCGGGGAGGAGGTTGGAGATCCACGGGGTGGCGCCGTAGGGGGCGGCCGTCGAGTTGGACCAGGAGAGCATGAGGACGCCCTCCTGGGTGAGCTCGACCTGCCACGAGACGGGCCAGTGGTATTCGGTGTCGGAGGTGAAGAGCTCGGCCTCGGTCTTGGTGTCGGTGAGGGAGAGGGCGCCGCTGTCGAGTAGGCGGAGGGAGTAGCGGCCGGAGGGGGAGGTCAGGTGGAAGGGGGAGAGCGTCTGGCCGGCTTCGAGCTTCGACGGCGTCTTGGAGGTTGGTTGCGCATCTTTGGCTGGGTCGGATGCCGGTGTCGCGGGTTTCGAGGGCGCAGACGATGCCGTCACGGCGGCAGCGGTCGAGGAGATCGTGGCAGCAACATCGTTGCCGCCCTTGTTCGCGTTGTTGGCGGCGTCTTTGGCCGGCGCTGTTGGCGCATGGTTGTTCACCGGGGTGGGAGGACTGTAGCCGACGTGGGGGAGCTGGGGGACGAGGAATATCGCGGCGATGAGGAAGACGGCGACCACTAGGGACAGCCTGAGACACGTGCCGCTCAGCATCACGACGGTTGGGCTTTCTGGCTTGGTGGGCTGTCCATTGCCAGCATAGCAGTGTGTTTTATGGCGTTTGTCTAAGAGGAGGTTATCCAATGAATCCGACAGGGGGCGTGCCGAGGCGGCAGGTGAATCCTCAGTGCGGCGCGATCGCGACGTTATCCGCTTATCGATAGAGCTTTGACCGTATGCATGTATCGGACTTGTTTCAGCACGATACCTACATACATGGTGCCCGTGATTAGTCGGCACATGTAAGTGCTCCCAAATTTGCCCATAGAATCTTGCTCAGAGGTTACTCGTTCCCTATTGTCAATTCGTTTCAATGACGCTACTTGGTGGTTGGGACCTGGATGTGAATGGCTTCAGTTCGTTGAGCTAACCTTACCCGAATCTGCCTTGTGTATCAACTGCAACATTGGTACATAAAGATTTCTGTTTCGATGTTTCAAGGCGCCTTTCTTTTCCCATCTGAAGTAAAACTTTTCGTTTCTTGCAACCGATGAGAAGAAATGCATTGTCTCGTCTTTCTATCTCTATCAGATTGGCATTTCATTAGTCACTCTGAAGTTTTTCTTACTGGTTGTGTTATCCGAACAATCCCTCACCGGTACAATCTGTTCGGCTTTACCTTCTTGTCTCTCGGAATCCTTTCATGGTCATATATCGGTCGCAGAAACAACGCCTCCTTCTCGGCCATGATGCCGTACCTATGACTAAGTGCTTTGGTATCTTCCAAGACACTCGTCGGCATTGTGAAGTCTCCTGGAGGCGGACTCCGCATGGCTAGTGCCAACAGCTCTGGAATTGAATCCCAACTTGAGCTCGTGATGCCCCTTCCTACACTCCACAGCACGAAAAGCCCAACTATACCACAGTACAAGAACAACCCGAACACCATGTTTCTTACTGTATTGTCTTGGTTGCAATACGCAAAACCTTGCATTTCCGCGCGGAAATAAAATGAGGCAAAACGTGACTGATCGGCTTCTTCGACGACAAAGGCGGCCTCATCTATTGCGGCGTCTTGGCGCTCGAAAAGGCGACTCCGCGGAAAGAAGTGACGCCACCACGGACCATTCTCATCTTTGAGCGTTGTGATGAGATGAGCATTGGGTGCCGTGCGCGCCATCGCGTTGATGAGCATGCCGTTGATCAACGTCTCAATGTGACACGGCGTCCAGTCCGGCCCCCTGTTCTCGAGTGAGGCAAGCCCAGCAGTGGTGGCAAGCCTCTGGAAGACAGTTGTATTTGTCTTTTCCACAATGGGATTGCTGAGGTTCGCATAGGATGTATGGATGGTGATCATACGGTTGGAGCCCCAGTCACTCTTTTCGAACCATTCTTGCGTCTTGACATGGTAGTACTGAAACACATGAATTTGGGCGGCCGTCCATTGGGCGTTGGTTATGCAACCATAAAGCGCAGGCTCTTTCCCTTCGAGTGGAAGGGAGACAACAGACCCGATTGAGGCATTTGCTGCCAAGTCTCCCTCCGGGTTGATGTCAAAGAAGAACAGTTCAGGAATAGAACCGTTCATGCTCTTCAGAAGATCCTCCGTATCAACATCTTCGATTATCATAGGGCTATATAGCGTTTGGGGGTTTCGGACATCGGGAAATTGGAGTGATCGATTATCGTTCCTAGCCAAGCACCGTGTCGTGATCGATGCCACCTCTGAGTATGTGGTGTACCGGGAATCAGATCCTCTGTAATTTCTCTTGTTTTCTTGTCCCATGCGTGTCATGGCCGTTTCCCAGAGCGCCGTTATTTTGACGAGGCCTACACCCGTGGCACGGGGAGGCAGCATCATCCTGGAATCCTCCCACTGCATCTCCGGGTTTTCAACAGGCTCGCGAACGGATAGACTGGCTAGCAGCACAGACTCCGTCGTAGGTAGAGGCCATAGTCCTAGAGGTCGGGTGTACAAAGGGTTCTCCACCTCAAGTTTCCTCTGGCCCGGAAAAAAGCTCGCAAGTTGCTCTAACGATTCCCAACCAGCTGATGGACAGCGTAGATCGCCGGTGACGTGGCATATCTCTCCGTGGAGGGTATTGTTGGCTGTAATCATACTGGGATACATCTCTTGAATGGAGACATTGAGCCAGGCCCACGAACCGCCTAATTTGTACCAGTCTTGAATGGGCATCAAGATGGTTGCGATTGCAGGAGCGACTAGTACGGCCAACGCACAGCATGTGAGCGAAAAGACAATAAAGAAGCCTTTCTTCCAGACGGAGGAGAATCGCCCTCGCAACATAGCGAATATGTCATTCGACCATATGAAGCTTGGAGACTTGTATTCGTGGCTGGCGAAAAAGGCTGCCAATGATATGCCTTGCGGCATAGTTGCCTCCATGCGCACAAACGTGAAGACCATTGTGGTAAGAGATCCGATAATGAAGCTCTCGATGAGCTTTGCAGCAAATTGAATCGCCAAAGCGGCCTGCTTATCCCACGCACGAAGCGGTGTTAGGTGGGCCCCAACCCAGTGTTCGCGGAAAACGAAGCGAGCCATGATAGCAGTTGCTATGATGGGAGGGAAATGTATGAATGCGGCCAATAGTGCCATGGGTCGGTGCTTGTAAATGACCACTTTCGTACGGTCATGCACTTTTTGATAGAAGAGGTGATAGAGAGAGTGTAAACTCCATGCCTTCAGAGTGTTGTGGATGATCTCCTTCCATTGGAAATTCGGCCTAGTCCAAAGACGCGAGGGGATCAGTATCAAAACTAGTACATTGAGACAGGAGGTAGACCGCTTCATCAGTGGGCCTCATCACAAAAAAAAGGGGGCTCACTCCGTCTGAACTGATTCCTCCGTCCCGGCTCGAGGCTGGTGCTGTGACTGCCCTTTGATAAAAATAGAGTTGTTTGAACCGGATATCAACCTCGTCATCTCCACCTCTGGCTCTTCCCATGGAGTTGTGCTGTCAGCAAGGTCTGGCCTGTACAGGGAAGACATGTTGATCTTGAAAGTTTTGCCGAAAAAGGAGCTGCCAACATAAGGTTGGGCGAAGTCTTTGGATCCAATGCTGGCTTTACCCGACCTGCTTTAATAGAGAAATTCGAAGCCAGTGACTCCATCCTAGCCACCATGTCTACGCAGCTCAATTACCTCCGTAAGGATCTGTCTTACCCACCACCAGGTGGCTTACTCGCGAGGTCACGCAGACAGTCAAACATCTCATTGGTGCCTTTTTTATCGTACAATTCAACTTCCGTCAACTTGCATTGAATCATATCAGGCTGAGGGCGCCACAGTACGCAAAAGTGGACCGAAAGGGGGATCGGAGACGCAGGCCAAGGTACAAATGGTCGTTTTTGAATCAATAATTGCATCTCTGCCCTCGTTCGGCTGCCGAATACAGGGCCCGGTCAACAAAAATGCATGCAATTCCCCGATTGCCCCATGGGGTTGCGGGTAACCTGTCCTTCAATTTCTCAAATAACGTTATAGTCATAACCGATGTCGTCTGTTAACACCAAACAAGTATGGCCCGCATCAAGCTTTCTCGCAAGCAAAGATAGTCGAACCTCTTGTTGTTGCGTCTTCTGCGAAAGGGGCCTATCTCGATGTATCGCAACCTCGAGCCACCTCACTCGCTTCAGGGGGCGAGACCAGAGAAGATCTTCCAACCAGGTTGTTTAATCTTAGAAAGCGCTTCTGCGGCCATAATGAAATGCACTACATGTCCTAGACAACATTTCTGGATAATGCACCGCCTAAGAATTCACCATAGGCTTCCCCCACAACTTCGAATCTTCCCATGACCCTTCCGTAGCCGCTCACTTTCTCTCTCAACTGAATAATATGAAAGTTGCAACCGGTAATGATAAAGACCTTGTCGCTTGATCGCAGCACAGCGGGACCAATGCACATATATCTCTCATTCTTCGTGACGAAGAACCGCATCTGCGACATCACGTTTTGTATGATGTTGGAAGTAGTGTTATCGGCCGCGGAACCGGCACACAAAATCATGTCAACGATGCCTCGCAAGTCATTTCTCACCTGGCTTTTGCTTATTTCCTCTAACACTAAAAATTACGTTACGCGGTCGATGATTCGTTTCTAGCGAATAATAATTTCACTCCATTTCACACTTTTCCTCGAATTCCACCAAGCAAGGTTTTCCCACCACGTTGTCTCTTTGATCCTTGCAATAGCTTCTCCGGCCATGATTCCGTGAACTGCGAGAAAAAGGGGCCGTTAGAAACATCTAGATTAACAGCATCCAATCATTGACGTACCGTAGGCTTCCCCGATAAGTTCAAACTCCCCATTTCTGTCACCATTCTCGTCTACAATCTCTCTGAGGATAAGGGGGAAGTTACACCCGGCTAGGACATAAACTTTGTCACCGGGTTTGAGTGAAGCAGGACCAATACCCATATATCGTTCCCCTTTTGTGACGAAGAATCGGCGAAGTGGCATGATGTTTTGAACGACTTGAGCAACGGTCTTCTCGCCCGCCGAGCCCGCACACAAGACCCTTTCGATGATTCCCGCAACTCAGTCGCGTGTCTCTTCTTCATCCACTCTGGCCGTAGCTCATCCTTGACTTTCTCATCCTTTGTCCACCAGTGATTTGTCTTTCCCTCCAGAGCATTCTGTGCCAGGGCATAGGAATTATTAATGATCGAGTCTACTGAAACGGGAACAGAGCCTTGAGGGGCACCGCACCAACTACTAATCTCATCATTGAGGATAGCGTGAGTGTGAAGTGTCTCGAGGTTCATGCCAAACCAGGCAACAGCCTTCTCGTCAGCGCAGGCTGTATACCCGTGCCCGAAAACGAGCGTATAGTCCATAGAGTCTCCAAAGAAGGGAGACAGTAGCCGCGTGCGGTTGACAAACAGAACTGGTATTGTCTCATTCGCCTCTTTCCGCCAGTCAGGGACCCAAGACGGCAGCATACCGCCGTTGCAAGCGGGTTTTGATCCACCCGCTGCCAAAAGGATGTCGAGACTGTCTTCCGTGCGTATAATATCCCTAGCTGCCTCGCAGAATACTTTCTTGACAGTTTTACTGTAGTCAGGCATCATTAGGGGGCGGTTTTCTTCGCCGACGAGACCCAAGACCGCGAAAACTTTATCCCTCGGATCAGTTGCGTCTCGGTCCCAGGTGTTCCACAACAGGTCCGAAAGCTTTCCGTTGAGGAGTCTCATCTTACACAGATGAAGAGCCAATCCGTAACGCCTCTGAAGTTGCGCCCAAACTCCGACTCGGCAGTCGCTGCTGTCTTTCATTGTTTTGCCTATGTCATCCCAATATTCATGATAAGACGTGGCCCTCTGAAAGATCTTCCACCTGATGGTCTTCTTCCCGCATTGAACAATTGCTCTGTCACTTGCGCTCCAGACTTCTTGAACAACCCAGGTGCGGCTCCACCATTGCCGGCCGAGAAGGTTGTCGACTGCGGTCCAGTGGGTTTGGAAACTTTCATGGAAAAAAGGCGCCAATGGATGGCCGAACATGTCGCAAAGGACAGGGTAGCCGATGGCGACATGGCCAACATTTGGTTCCATGATATTGATGTCAGCCGCCCAGGCCATCCTCGCTCTCTCCTGTGTACCATTCTGTGCTCTGCGCTCCCAGAACTTCATGCGCTCCAGAAACCTGGTCCACGTACGAGGCAGTTCCCCACGAATCATAGCTTCATGTTGCTCCCACTTTTTCTTCCTCATCTCGTCCCATTTGTCTCTGGCGCGGCCACTCCCACAGTACAGGCCAACACGCAGGGCGCAACTCTGGAACAGCTCTATTGCTTTTTTGACCCAACTTCGAAACCAAATTGAGAAACTAGCAATAACAGCTGACCTTGTAAGCTCAGCGGATTCAGCGGCTTCCACTGGCGTAAGGAGGGTGTGCGAGTTAACCTTGTCGTAGCTATCAACTGTGTCAGCGTCGTTGCCAGCTGTGTCAACGTCAATTTCAGCTGCGTCAACGTCGTTGTCAACTGCCTCACTATCGCCTCCACGTTTAGGATCTCTAAGATCACTGAGAGTCAAATACTCATCCTGGCTAAACTCGGAAGTCTCGTCATCCGAAAACGGTCTCTGGTCATATTTCTTCTTGTATGTTCCCATCCTTTGAAGGAAGCGAAAGGCCCGATCGCTTTCACCGTCCTCAGTCGCCAAGCCCAGCCAGATAATAACGCGTTGCGCACGGCTGTAGATCTGCCGCATTTGCTGCACCTGCACACTCCTCTCGGAGGCATTGGCTTGGCTGATGCAAATGGCATCGATCCATACAACGCGAGGCTCGTTGGGATAGCGGAGGGAGTTTAGAAGAGACGTGACATTGGGCGTAATTGGGATACTTCTGACATCTTTCGTTTCGCTCGATGTCGACGTTGACCCAGTGTCGCAGACGACATCCAGCGCATCGGTGAAGTCTTCAGCGCCCCAGGCGTAAGACACCGCCTCATAGTTGGGGGCCAATTCAAGCGGTGCTGACCTGAGTATACCAGAGAGTGCCGTTGCTTCGTCTCCGGGATGAATAGTGAGGAGACGGATATGGCCATCTGGAAGATCTTGGTAAACGGGATGCATTGCAGTGAAATGTGGCTAAAGCCAGCAGCCAATGGCCAATGTCTATTGCAAGTACGGCTTCCGCAGACCGCAGGCCGACTTTGCCAAAATGGAAAGTTGAGTGATTGAGGAGGTGTGGCAGAGCGAAGAGCGATTTCGCTCAGCTTACTTGTTGGTTGGAAATCTCTCGAATATTCTGATTGGTTTCCATGCTCCTGCCTACTTTTAATTGGACATGCCCCTCATTAAAACCATGCAGAACGAATAAAGACGTTTATTCGCTCAAGATTGCAGCAATCGAGAGCAAAAGTCCCCTCCGAGCAGTGGATGTTTTGAGTTCTGCACACTTATTCTGTAAAGTCACAGGAAATCAACCAAAACTAGCATGGCCAATATGAGGTCTGTTCTACTATAAAATCATGAGTCAATGACCATGTCTCTATCCAAGATTAGTACAAACAAGAGCGCTATGGAAGCTCAACCTCAATCAAGCTCTCAACGCCCTTGCCTCCGCCCCAGATCTTCACAATCTTCAACCCAGCAATCTTCTCCAGAAGGTTGTACCAGTCACCCTCGGTGCGCTCCTTAGAGCAGAAGAGTGTTAGCATGACCATATCAAGCGCCGATGTCTCCCACCAGGCACCAGTTGACGGAATGACGTTCTCGTTGATGAGCAACTTGCTGTAGCCGGGCTTCATGGCGGCCTTGATCTGCGCGAGAATCTTCTCGCAGACATCATCAGGCCAGTCGTGCAGGCATGAGTGCATGTAGTAGGCACGGGCACCCTTGACGGGCTGCTCTGTTAAGAAGTCGTGGCCCATGGGCGTGATGGCTGGCGTCAGCTCCCGGATCTGGCCGATGACCACAGGCAGATCCTGCAGAATGAGCTTGCCCGGTGCGTCAGGGTGGTAGCGGTGGAATTCGGCCAGGTCGTGACCGATGCTGCCACCGATATCCACCAAGAAGGGGGCGTGGGCGTTCTTGTCGGCGCCTTCGATGAGCCTTTCTTTGACGGGGAAGAATCCCGGAGCCATCCAGGGGTTACGGCCCTGACGATAGCCGGACATGTGGTGGTTGAAGTGAGTGCCGTCTGCGATTACTTCTGTCAGTACAGGTATCCATGCGAGCTTATTTGTGGCTGTAAAACCTACAGCCCAAGTCTTGTTGCCATGAAAACATATCCTTGTCGGTGTTATAGGCGTACATCATAGATGTATCCTTTGCATCGGTCGGGTTCTTGAAGCCTCTCTTGCGAGAGTACTCGTGGAATCGCAAGGGGCCGGCGCCGGTGCAGGAAGTCCTGGAGGCATCATGACGTTAGCGAACCGTTACATGTAGATAATACGTGAATGTCGATGTGGCAGGCACATATAAGACTCACATAGCAATGTATCCATCTCCAATCATGGGAAGGCTGAGCGACTTTGAGAAGTTGGTGGGCTGGTACTCGTCGAGGCCGGTCTCCTTGATGTATCCCATAGCACCAAGATGGCGCATGAGACGACCTGAGATGGGGTGTCAGTCGAACAAGTGTGAGGAAGATGTATTAGGAGACTTACTCAGGAGAGCTGGGCCAACACCAAGGGCTTCGGCCAACTCGGTTACCTTTTGGGGTCTATCGCCATTCTTGGCCATGAGCTTCCACAGGCCTGAGTCAACACCAAAGTTGATACCGGCAATGGCACCAGTCTTGCGGAAAACTTAGTTAGTTTACATGGAATAGTACCAGGTGCCGAGGCAAAAGCCGACCTGTGCCCAGCAATGCTTGATCATGGTCTCTCTCGGAGCCTCGAGAGCTTGGACAATCGACCGGGCCTTCAGCAGGAGCTCGTGACGGGCTTCTTGGCCGCCAGTCGACAAAGAGCCAATCACAGCATTAAGCTCCTTTAGCAGTCCAGGAACTGCTGCCAGGTCATTGGGGCTGGTGGCAATTGAGGGGTCGACGACTGGGGCGTCTTTGGTGCCATTGGTGTCATTAGTACCGTTCGTACCGTTGGTGCCGTTCGCAGCTGGCATCATGAATATGAATAACGATAATGAATGAAGTAAGCTGAGGAGGAGTGAAGAAGCTGGGGCCAGACTGACATGGCGCTCCCAAGGCGAGTAAATATATCGTGCCGCGAAATCAGTCGGAAGGAACCTCTTCGGAAGTCGGGAAACATAATGAGCATCTGCATTTGCTAAAGCCCCCACGTTCCGTAAGTCTGTTTCTATGACCCCTTTTTGTGGTGGGAATCGAGGTCCTCGGAAGGTGAAGGAGAGTTGGAGAGCGGCGGAACTGGCGTCTCTCCTGATGCAGCGCAGTTGTTGGCAGAGCAGATCTTGAGGTCCAGTGCTCCATCCCACTTCGTCCGGGCCGGGATCCCGAATCCCCGTCCAAATACAGTTCTGACAATGTCAACGGGACCTCCCGCGGTTAAACCAGACGGCTGTGTGGCCTGCACGCTGCCCCGGCTTGTGAAGACCGGGGCCCCGGACCACCGGCCCCACCAGGAACCATCTTCCGGACCAGGCCCGAGCAGGGGGCAGATACAGTGTTGGTTGATAGTCACAGTTTTGGCTATCAACCAACAGCGCAAGAGCCCAACAGTAGTCCTCAAGCGGAAATAATTACTCTCGGTCAAAGTTGATCGGCCGCCGTCCTACCGTCCGAGGCTTGGCCGCATTCTGCTCAACGCTCGCAGCCCATGTTTTTGGAACAAAAGAATATTAAGCCTGACGACACGGCTCCATATCTCTGCAGCCAGACACACAACATGCTGTTGGTGAAGGCTCGGCTGTCGGGGTTCCAGCCGGGCCCCTAGACAATGAAGACATTTCTGTGCCCACGAACAGCCTATGTGGCCTGTCCATGGGCCGGGCTAACTTCCCCAATGGGACAATGCGGTTGCCAGGCATGCTCCAACACGATGAAGAACACGTCCAGACTCCAACAGATGAAGTTTGCTTCCAACATATTACACATGAAGATTCCTTGCAATATAAACGGGGCTTGCGGGTACTTCCAACAACACGGAGACGATTCTTTTGCCCAAAATGATCAGACCGATTGTCTTGGCTTGCTACCGCAGTATACCTGGAGGTTGACGCCTGTTCCAACGAGTGGTTGGAGAATTTCAACTCGGGGATCTGCTGCAGCCCGTATTCCCGCCACGTTCAATTGCATGCAGCACATTGCGAAGGGCCCACAGCCTCCTGGTGTTTCGTCGTTTGGTCTGCTCGTTGACTGATCTTCACGAATCGTGATCAAATATCAGGATGATCAGGGGCGGGATGTGGGATTATACTGAATGTGCTATCACCGACTGAAAGAAGCCACACAGATTTTAGACACATTGTCTTCTTTCGGAGAGAATTATGAAGGGGTTTGTTTCGAGTCTAATAAGTCTGGCAAAAGAACCTTGGAGTTATGAAAATTAGCTTGGGAAGTTGAAAAAGTGAGCATGATCGGCAATCGGCAATTTTTCATGCGTGCCGAGAACATGGTCCGCGAGCAGTCCGGTCGGCTCGCATATATTCTTCAAGCTCCTGCAAGTGTCCGAGGCTGTCTCCGGTCTCCGAGATCCTTCCGCACGCCCGCATGGTCGCTGAGAAATTCTTTTCTGCAACTTCAACATGTCGAGTCCACCGGAGGATTCCGATGAGTGGAAGGCTCAGGACAAAGGGCCAACCATCATCGTCGTTTGCTGGATTGTCACGGCCATCAGCACCTGTTTCGTTCTTGGCCGAGTTTATGTGAGAGGGAAGATTATGAGGAAGTTCCACAGCGATGACTGGTTCATCATTTTAGGGCTGGTAAGTGTTTCCTTTATCGTAAATCCTTTTATACAGAGACCCCCTTTCGCGTACTAATCAACCTGTGCCGTCCCTCAGTTTTGTGGTTACATCTCGACGGCTCTGTCCACGATCGCGGTATCCTACGGCAATGGAAAACACATGAAGCTTCTATCGACCGAGCAGAAGCAAGGCGCCATCTTATGGACAACGGCCGCCTTCTGCCCTGGCAACATGTCTTTTGGCCTCCCAAAACTGGCCGTGATCTCTCTTCTGACGCGGCTCATGAATCCAGGGAGATATCATAAGTGGTTCTTGTGGTGGATGGGAATCTGGTGCCAGTTGACGCTCTTTGTGACAGCAGGACTTCTCCTTGGGCGCTGCACGCCAGCCAGGTCACTTTGGGACTTTTCTGTCACAGGCAAATGCTTCAGCAAACAGATTTTAGTCGCGTATTGCATCTACGCGGGCGGTATGACGACCCTCTTTGCCACACAGCTCTCAGCCCCTCTAACACAATTTTCCTCAACAGCATTCTCAGCGTTTGTTGATGTTTACCTGGCTGTGTATCCGGCCATAGTGCTCTTCGGTCTCCAAATGTCCACTAAGAAGAAAGTCGCTCTGTCATGCGCCCTGGGTATTGGTTCAGTGTATGCATTATCCATCTCGCACGCATCATTGTTAGTGACTACTGTGACTAATGGCCGACTCATAGTTCTGGTGTTGTTGCTGTTTACAAAACAACTCGTATTCCGTCTCTCGCAAGCGATGACTTCTCTTGTAGGGCCTCTACCTGCGCTTTTCCGTCGATGGATGGAGACTCGCAAGGCTGACTTTCTTTTGCTTCCCAGATGATACCTCTGATCTGGTTATTTGGACAGTGTAAGATGAACCCACCCCAGACACATTGAGCCAAATGGCTACGTGCTGCCAGCGTTCTCTGAAAACAGCATTCTAATCGCGGAATTAATTGCAGTGTCGAGGGCAGCACCATCATCATTGCGAGCTCCATACCTGTTATGCAACCACTCCTCGAACTCATCCTGCGACGCAACCCCTTCAGTTCCGGGAAGGGATCCAAGCAGGCACCGCAGTATTATGAGCACTACGGCTCCCAGAGCAAATCAAAATCGCGCGGCGGCGGCATCGAGCTCGGCCAAAGAAAGCCCAAGTCCAAGCCCAAGGACGACCTCGGCCTTACTATAATCGAGAGCGACGACAGTCAAGAGAACATACTATCCTCAACA